TTGTGCCGCAGGTGATTGCAGTTAGATTATAGTGGCCACTTATCCATCAGCATCAAAAAGGGGGAAGCATCACACACTGAAGGGAGTTTCACAGATTTACATCAGACATTCACGTTTGAGAGAATTTATCTTGAGGCGGTCAATTCCCTCATGGTGGTGGGGATTGCATTGGAGGACACAAGGCTGTTGTCCAAAAAGTGGGCAGTAGCAGTAATTTGGCAGCTCTTTATGGTGCAGGAGAGGAACCCCATGGCAGAACATTGCAGACTCCCCTGGAGTGTTTCCTAGTTGTTTTGATGCCTCAGTGCATTTCTAATGGTAGCAGCAGCTGCAGTTTCAAACAGGCAAGTGATGGCATGTGGCCCAAGGGCTTAATTTTACCTATTTGCATAGAAATCTGGTACATATTTCTATTGCAGGGAAGACTGTGAGCAGGTGGTCTATGTTTCCCCTTATTCGGTTGTCTAGGTGCTAATTGCTGATGAGCAACTTCAAGGCTGTGTGCTTTTATCTTTAGACTCAAGAGCCAGGGTGGAATAATAATATAATAATAATAATAATATAATAATACATATTTATTTATTTTTTTATTTATTTACTTTGCTTATATACCGCTGTATCTCAAGCCCGAAGGCAACTCACAGCGGTTCACAAACAGTAAAAACAGTAGAAACAGCAGTGGTTCCATACAACATATAACAATTGACTTAACACATTATCCATAAATTACCAATAAGCAATTACAATGCACAATTATTATGAAAAACAACCGTACCCAATCTTCTCATCATCCAAGCGTAGTCCAGGTTCGTCGTCCATTGTTCCATTCCTATATTCCATTACCAGATTGCACTAAATTACTCAAACGCCTGCACAAACATCCAGGTCTTCACCTTTTTGCGGAATACCATTAGAGATGGTGCTAGTCTAATGTCCGTAGGAAGGGCGTTCCACAGCCGAGGAGCCACCACCGAGAAGGCCCTATCTCCCCGTAATTAGGTCTCGCATTCATAGTATCACCATAAATCAAAACCATTTTGATGGCCATTACAGTATAACAGGTCCAATGGGCAGCGGCCAGGATGTTATCTGGGGCTCCTTACAGAGGGATGTCAACCGGGGCTCATTACAGAGAGAGGTCAACCCTCCTGTTCAAGGAGCTCCACTGGCTGCCGTTTATTTTCCGAGCCCAATTTAAGGTGCAGGTGCTTACCTACAAAGCCCTGAACGGTTTGGGACCAGCCTACCTGCGTGACCGCATCTCCGTCTACGAACCCACGCGTTCACTTCGTTCATCTGGAGAGGCCCTGCTCGTGATCCCGCCTGCGTCGCAAGCGCGTTTGGTGGGGACACGAGACAGGGCCTTTTCTGTGGTGGCCCCCCGACTCTGGAACACCCTCCCCAAAGATCTTAGACAGGCCCCTACCCTGGCAGTCTTTAGAAAGAACTTGAAGACCTGGCTGTTCCGATGTGCCTTCCCAGAATAGGAAATCTCCAATACCAAGTCCCATAAGCACTTTATTAAAACTAAGATTGCCGCACGCTGCACACTGCACTTGCCCTATAATCCTTATATACCACCTGTCACATCAGCACTTTTAATCCTGTACCCATTACTCTGGCCCGGCCCAGTTTTATTGTGTCTTAGTGTATTGTTTATTGCTTGTTGTTTATATTGCTTTAATTGTTTTTAATTTGCTTTAGGTTTTGTATTGTTATGTTGTGTGTTGAGGCCTTGGCCTTTGTAAGCCGCATCGAGTCCTTCGGGAGATGCTAGCGGAGTACAAATAAAGTTTAATAATAATAATAATAATAATAACAGTAGTTCCCAAGCTTTTTTTGACGGCAAAAAAAGCCAATGGGAATTTGGCCTGCATCAATAGGAGCATAGTGTCTAGATCTAGGGAAGTCATGCTACCCCTCTATTCCGCTTTGGTTAGACCACACCTGGAATATTGTGTCCAATTCTGGGCACCACAATTCAAGAGAGATATTGACAAGCTGGAATGTGTCCAGAGGAGTGTGACTAAAATGATCAAGGGTCTGGAGAACAAGCCCTATGAGGAGCGGCTTAAAGAGCTGGGCATGTTTAGCCTGAAGAAGAGAAGGCTGAGAGGAGATATGATAGCCATGTATAAATATGTGAGAGGAAGCCATAGGGAGGAGGGGAGCAAGCTTGTTTTCTGCTTCCCTGGAGACTAGGACGCAATGGAACAATGGCTTCAAACTACAAGAAAGGAGATTCCATCTGAACATTAGGAATAACTTCCTGACTGTGAGAGCTGTTCAGCAGTGGAACTCTCTGCTCCAGAGTGTGGTGGAGGCTCCTTCTTTGGAAGCTTTTAAACAGAGGCTGGATGGCCATCTGTCAGGGGTGCTTTGAATGCAATATTCCTGCTTCTTGGCAGAATGGGGTTGGACTGGATGGCCCATGAGGTCTCTTCCAACTCTTTGATTCTCTGATTCTATGAACATTGACCACAAGATGATTTTATTGCTTCTATTGTATCCATTGGGTGGCCTTCAGCAAATCACATTTTCTCATCCTCAGAGGAAGGCAGTGCCAAACTTCTCATAAGATCTTTCCATAGGGACATAGGGTCACCATATGTGAGAAACTATTTGCACACAACAACAACAACAACAACAAATCTTTAAACCACTCTGTACTTGGTGAAACTTTTAAATATAAGCACCGTCATGTACAAAATATTTTATTTAACATCTCAGAAGCTAATTGAGAATACAGCTATTTATTTATTTATTTATTTATTTATATTATTGATAAGGGGGCTCAGGTGGAGGAAACACATAAAATCTAGGATGAAATTGTCCCTGAATGAAAGCCTTCACTTGAGTGGTGAGCAGTATGATGTTTGTGGAGGAAAGTGTCAGGGCTCTTGTACATGTTTATTGCACTCACTATAACCTGCTATGTCATTGGAGGGAGGGCCTTTGGTGTCTTCTGAGTAGTGGGAGCTAGAGCTGTTTGTGGAGGTGGGAGCTTGTCTGTGTAAGTGAACACAGCCACACACATACATACACACACACACATACATACATGCATACATACATATTTTCACTTGTATTATGAGTATAGATAACTAGTATCTATATAAATAAAAATGTAATGTTCGTTTGTGGGATTAACATAACTCAGAAACCACTGGATGAATTGACACAAAATTTGAACAATACACCTAACAGTCCAACGAGTGTTCATCACCCCTAAAAACACACACACACAACAGACTTTGAACCCCCTTAAATACATCACACACACACACACATACACTCATATGCATATACACATGCACACATACATGTACATACGTATATGTATACCCAAGCACACACACATCTACACACACATATATACATATACACATGCACACACAAATATACACATGCACACATACATGCACACATACATACACACATATATAAACACAAATATGCATATAGACAAGCACACACATATACACAATATGCATATACACATATATACACACATATATACAAATCTACACACATATCACACACATATATACACATCACACATATATATATACATACACATACACACATGCACACACAAATATACACATGCACACATACATGCACACATACATACACACATATATAAACACAAATATGCATATAGACAAGCACACACATATACACAATATGCATATACACATATATACACACATATATACAAATCTACACACACACATATTCACACACATATATACAACCATATATATATATATATATATATATATATATATATATATACACACACACACACACACACACACATATTTACACACACATATACAGACTGGGACACAGCAACGCGTGGCAGGGGATGGCTAATACACACACACACACACATATATATACGCATATAGACAAGCACACACATATACACAATAACCATATACACATACTGTATATACTCGAGTATAAGCCTAGTTTTTCAGACCTTTTTTGGGCTGAAAAAGTCCCTCTCGGCTTATACTCGAGTCAAGGTTATTTATTATTTTACTCTGTTATAAATACGTAATAAATGTATTATTATTATTATTATTATTTTATTATTACATTTATTATTTTACTTTATTATTGTTATTATTACATTTATTATTTTACTCTATTTATTATTATTATTATTATTATTATTATTTTACTTTATTTATTTTTATTGGAAGGGTATGCAAGTTTTATGTAAAAATTACAGTTTTATGTAAATATTCAAAAACATTTAACCTCCTGATGCCTCAATTAATATAATTTTATTGGTATCTATTTTTATTTTGAAATTTACCAGTAGTGGCTGCATTTCCCACCCTCGGCTTATACTTGAGTCAATATGTTTTCCCAGTTTTTTGTGTGATAAAATTAGGTGTCTCAGCTTATATTCGGGTCGGCTTATACTCAAGTATATACGGTATATACACACTTATATACACATCTACACACCCATATATACACCTCTATATATATATATATATATATATATATATATATATACACACACACACACACACACACACACACACACACACACACAAACACACACATATATACACAGATACACAAATATACAGGGTTAGTCAAAATGAATAGGCCAATAATGAATAATGAATAATGAATATTGGCCTATTCATTTTGACTAACCCTGTATATTATACAGTACCCACTTTGACCAGGATGAATTATATTGCATAAGTATGCTTGAAGGCATAATGTGTGAGCTATGTTAATCATTTTCAGATTGGCATTTCATGGGAGATGAGTTGCCATTAGGAGCCCTGAAAAATTCCCCCATGTAGTAAATTACAACGCAGTGGTACTACTGGAGTATTTAAATAAGACATGTGCCAAGTGA